AAACTGTATACTTATCTCTTTGGTATGACGTAACCCCTTTCAGATTTTAAGCCTTTTTGTTTTTACCATTCCAGTATCCTACTGATGATGTGTAAAATTGTGACACGTGAACGAGTACAGATATCGAAAATTAATTTCATCACTCTGCGGAAAAAAGTATGGTCAAAACTACTAGAAAATGGTAAAATTTACTATGTTTGTGGCTCTATGGGAATACCGAAAAAGTCGGTAATTTTTACCGAAGCGCTTTGACCATTATTTTGGTAAAATTAACAATAAACTATGGTTCTATAATGTATGATAAAAACTGGTAAATGTAAAATTTGGTTATTTTATCAAGATACCTAATATTATGCATTAAAACCATTTATTTGGTGAAATTCAACATTCAGTTTTGAATTTTTAAATAAATGTGTGGTAATAAGAAATAATTTTGAAAACCAGATTTCCAGTTAACTGTAGCCATATAAACGGAAAAATTACCAAATGAATAGGTTAAATACTTCCATGTTGGTTTTATTACCAGTTGGTTTTATTTTTTATCTGAAATGTCATATCCATACAGTACGATAATTTTGCCAGAAAAATTTTCTCCATGCACAGTTACTCTCGTAATTTTAAATTAATACATTTCTTTCCCCGTTAATTTCTTTAAGGGTATTATTCAAAGCTCTTTCGCTTAGGAAAGTAAAAAGGCCACAGTTAAGTTTAACAAAGCAATAAAACTACAACGCATACTCAATCGAGCTTTTTCACCAGCAAGTCTTGATATATCAGATGACAGAATATGCAATGATTATGCGGCTTAAGTGTGAAATTGGTGGTAAAAAAAATATAATTATATCCTCTGTTGGGGAAAAAACGAATTACTTTTCGAATGACGCAATATCTTTTTACTTCCAATGGTAATATAAAATTTAAATTATAAATAAGAATGAGCCCAGATAAACCATGAAAAGATAAAAAAAATAGGAAAAAAAAACTAATGCCGTCGTGGTATTGAGTTCTTATAAATGTTGCATGAAATCATTTCTCTGTTACATATGGAGTATGAGGATTGATTTTTTTATTAATGTAGCAGATGCATTATTATTTTTATTTTATATAGTTAATATTTTTCTATTATACAAGGGGACATAAGTGATATGTTTACATATCATAATTTCCAGAAAAAAATTCTGTTATTATAAATATTCGCTACGTAATGCAAGTTCTTTTTACGGCCCTTTCTTTTAGGTTAAAATAATAAAGAATCCTTTATTTTTCTTTTTGAATTGATAGTTCTTTATCTTGATCCTTTTTCTTTTTTTCGAAACTGTTGATTCTGCATTTCTTTTTAGAAGGTTTAATTTTAATTAAGTATTTCCTATTTCAATACTCATTGGATAATTCTCCTTCAATTTGTTCTTATTTTTTATTTTTGATTACCCATTTGAATTCATTCGTAGTTTTAATTTTTTATTTATTATTTCCTTATTTTATTATAAAATAAAGCCAATTTACCTATTTAATTAGTTTTGATTTGTATTGAGGATCAAGTGGGATTCTAGAAAAAGAAATAAAATTAATGACTTTTTATTAAAGATCTTTGAATATTAACCAATTCTTATTTAGAGATAAGTTAACTAATGCATAATAATTTTACTATTAACAAATTAAAGATAGATCTTACTAATAAATTATGATTGACTGAATTATGATTGACTTTGATTTTAATTATTTCATGGATTGAATTGATTTGTTTTACTCTTTTTAGTTAATAGCAGTATTTTATTTTATTTTTTAGTTACTTAATTATGACAATATTATTATAATTTTATTCCTGTCTATCTATTTATAATTTTATTTTTGTCTTTTTCCTTTCAACTATTTTGTAAATTAGCACAGAATTACGGAGATAATAAACGATGTTGCATCTAGTTGCATACAGAATTTTTTTCTTTCCTAACTTGAATAAAAAGAAAGATTTAATGAGAGTATGAGGGAGCTTTTACTCGACCCCTTACTCACCCCTTAGAGATGACTACCGAGGGGTCAGTTTCTGTGAGAAAAGTTAAAGAGAAAGGGTCGAGTTTGGTATTATTAAAAAGGTTTTCAAAATATTTATTTTTTGAGATATCTCTATTTGAAATAATTTTTATTCCATTTTTATTTCACAATCATGTCATATAAGTTAAATCGGGTACTTTTTTCTCAAGAATTTCAAATCTTCAATAGCCACAGCCTACACTCAGTTGTCCCAAGCGAGATTGGGGGTAGGAGATCGAGTTTGAAAAAATTGCAAGCATCTTTTGAAAATATTATACTGGAGCATTTTAAGATTTTTTTACCCGATGTGTATTTTTTCGAGCTATTCAGCCATTTCTAATACATTTTTAACATTCTGCATTACAAGGAGGGTATGTAACTGAACGACTTTTTATGTTTAAAAAATGAAATACTTGTATTCAATACCAGTAAATATTATTTTCTTAAAAAAATAAAGGAGTGAACTTGAACGTTAGCTTTATTCAGGTTTAAAATATTTAATACAAAGTTTTTTACGTTCATTTTAAGTAAATCAGGTCTTAAGTTCTTTTTTCATTATCATATTATTAGCATCATTAACATTATTAATACGTGTTTTAATCATAAACTGGTTTCCTATTTTCTAAAGATAATAAATATGCATATGTTTTAGTGTTTATATTCGTATTTTATAAAGTAAACATTTCATTCGTCTCTTTTATTTTCATAACCATTTTAGAATGAATTGCTTCACAGAATATTAATCATTACTATTATTATAATTATCATTATGCTTTATTAATATTATAAAAAAATTATAATAATAATTATAGAGCAGTTATATACATTCGGATAACGTAAATTTTAGTTCCAGTGCACGAGTTGAAACATTTTGTGACTTACGCAAATATTTAATGAATGTTATATTTTGAAATTAAAAACACTGTCATTTTCCGAATACGTATTTAATTAAATATGATCTGGAAGTCGAATCATGAATTATAATTAAAATATTAAATTGTTGATAGGCAATTATTTTGAAATTGAATACGGAAGTAAAGTAAAACTTTCTAAATATCGATGTCATGCCTAAAAGTTGTTAACTAAGGGCAAGTTAACTCGATATTGAAAGTGCATTAACGTCATTGGTGAGCAATATTTGGGCATAAAAAGGCGAGTTAACTCGTCACCGCTTAGCAATGTTTAACATAGCCATTTCAATTGATTATAATATTGAAAACGTCAATTCAGTTTTATTTTCCCGTTCATATATTTTATGAAAATTTCCTTTGCAATTCTTTGAATTTCTATTTAATGTGTAATAATAAATAAATATGTATAAATAAGTGATTATTGATTTCGAAATTTTAAGCATTTGTAAAGTCGATTTAGACTCTAAATTTTAGAGTGTATTTGGAGATAAACACGAATATTTAACCACAAATTATACTCGGGAGTTAAATTTGAAAAATGTATGTATTGACATTTGTATGCAATGGCATTATTTGCATGGTAATGACATTTCTGGTAAAAAAAAAAGCAACAGCATAATTCTAGTTGGAAAAAAATAACCAAATTATATGGTATTTAAACCATTCAATTGGTAATTTTTCCTTTCATATAGTAATATAGTAATGGTTTTTCTGAAAATTTGGTTTTCAAAATTTAAGTTCTTATCATCTCACATTTAGTAAAATTACAATACTGAAAAGAAAATTTGACCTAATTAATGGCTTTTTATACCATACTTGAAGATATCATGATAAAATGGCCAAATTTTACAGCATTTATCTACATTTATTTATCACACAATGTCAAACCATATTTTATTGTTAATTGTATCATCACCAAATCTCACCAAAAAAATCATTACCAAAGCTCTTCAGTAAAAAGTGCTGATCATTTTTTATTCCCATAGGGCCAGAAACACTGAATGTTGGTACATAGAGTGCAGAACATTGGTGGTCGTAAACTCTAAATTGGATCGGCTGTTCAAAGAGAGTCATACTATAAAATGAGTCCACTTTGAATCGTGGTGGCTCAGGGGATAGATCGCCTCCCAATGAGATGATCCAGGTTCGAATGGCAGAGATGACTGTCAAAATGTCCTCCACGAAGGCTAGTTTGTCCCACTGTTTGATCCAGGAGTTTTCTTGTCTTCTGGTTTGGGTTCAAATTTTAAAGCTACTGAGTTGAACATTCATAGTTGTTAACTCAGAAGTGGGTCAGCTGCTCAACACCGGTAAGAAAATAAAATAAAATTAATCCAATTTAAATTTGACATTCAAAAGTCTCTTATTTCAATCTAAAATAAATTGCTTTTTCTATAATTATAGTGGGTTATAGTCTTTAAAAATTTAAATATTTTAAGTAAAGTGTGATCATTATTAAATTAAAAGAACGAATGCTTATTTTTTTAAAAAAAAAATGATTTAAAAAATTATAATTAAGAAAATAAAATAAAATTAATCCAATTTAAATTTGACATTCAAAAGTCTCTTATTTCAATCTAAAATAAATTGCTTTTTCTTTAATTATAGTGGGTTATAGTCTTTAAAAATTTAAATATTTTAAGTAAAGTGGGATCATTTTTAAATTAAAAGAACGAATGTTTATTTAAAAAAAAAAAAATGATTTAAAAAATTATACTTTCACCGAAAATCGCTCGTCGATTTAATTTTTCTTCCATTCCCACTCCATTCTGAACAATTTAATGATTATAGTTTCTAATAAACAATTCTACATTCGAAAATATTTAAAAAATAGTTCATAGCTTTAAATAAAATGCACAAATTGAAACGAAAGTAATTTATGTATGTGACTTTCATATGGTTAAGTGTAAAGCCTAATTCCTGTGAGTCAATATATTCTATCCGTGAAGAAATTGTGCGCGTTGATGTGTGTAGTAAACGAAAGGAGGAGCTGGCGGGAATTGTGGGATTGCTGAGATGGGGAAACCGCTTACCGAACATTCCTAAAAAGAGTTCGAACTTCTTAGTGAAACGGAGAGTTCTAGCTGTCGGTCTTAGGAACTTAGAGCGAGGAATTTCTATTCTTTTATTTTGCTATAGTATTAGAAGATTATTTAGAGGTAAAATTCTGCTAATTATGTGATCTTTGTCTTTTATATACTACTTGAAGATTCTTATATATTTTTTTAAAGGTTTTCTGAAACTTTTAAAAGTAGCTTAAAACTTATTGTGTTTTCTGTTTTTCATTGTTTCGCGAAATGTATTTCAAACTAATTGTAGTTTAAAATTATTTAGAGGTGTTATGTAGTCGATAAATTAATGACTTTTTTGTTTAATTAAATTAATTAATTTTAGCGAACGAAATATCGTTTTGAGAAAGACATTTTATTTGGTTCTGTATTATTAGTTTGTAGGGAAAACATGTTATGAATTTGTAGATTTTAACAGACTAACAAAAGTTTAGCGAGGAATTTCTTAGTACTTCGTAGAGACTTAGAGCGAAGAATTTCCATTATTTTATTCTGCTATAGAATTAGAAGATTATTTAGAGGTAAAACTCTGCTAATTATGTGATCTTTGTCTTTTATATACTAGTTGAAGATTCTTAAATATATTTTTTAAAGGGTTTCTAAAACTTTTAAAAGTAGCCTATTGTGCTTTCTGTTTTTCATTGTTTCGCTAAATGTATTTCACACTACTTAAAATTTCTTGCAGTCTAAAATTATTTAGAGGTGCTATACTAGTCGATAAGTTAAGGATTTTTCTATTTATGAGTAAATTAATTAATTTTAACGAAATAAATATCGTTTTGAGTAAGAAATTTTATTTGGTTCTGTATTAATATTTTGTGAGAAAAACTTGTTATAAGTTTGTAGATTTTAATAGACTTACAAAAGCTTTTTGTTTGAATTTTTAGTTAAGTATTTAGTTACTGATTATAGGAAATTTTAGTAAATTAAAAATATTAACTAATTGGAATATTCCACAATTTTTGTGGCTATCAGTGTAATTTGTCGATTACATTGATATAACCGATTGAATAAATTGGGAATTTTTTTAACTAAATTATAATGCTAATACGACAAAAATTTAACATATATTAATATGCTTAGTTTTGTTTCGATTAATTGATATACGCTTAATGTTAATCTAAGACAAATAAGAATGAAATTATGGAAGCATATTAATACCTTGTTTCATATAATGTAAATCGAAGAAAAAGTCAACATTATTGCATTTTCTTTAAATTCATTTAATTATTTCATTATTTTTTTGTATCAAATTATATTATACTATGTGCTAAAAATAATTTTATCTTTAAACATTACGAGAAAATACTATTATTTGATTTTACTATAAGCTTATTCGTCTACGTTATACCGCAGTTGATAGTCATGAAAATATTTAATAATATTTTCTCCGAACCTAATTTAATATAAACACCTTCCATTCTACTTTTTATTCTAATATTGTAGCTATATTTTGTTTTTTCTATAAAAGTAATAGCTATTTTTATGCTTGAGGCACAATGAATAAATCAGGGTCTCTAGTCACATGGATAGATTGCTAAAAGAATGCAATATTTTGATTTAATATAAATTCTGTGCTTTCTCTTTGCTTTATCAATATGAAAGCTAAACTTATTGAGCAGTGTTACTTATCAATTTTTCTTTCTTCTTTTTTGTTTCTTTAATTGTGCTAATATTTTAAGTCCATTTCAATAAAAATGCAACATTGAAAGTAAATGATATTTTGGCAAACTTTTTACATTTTTTTTTAAAATCCAAGACAACTTTTTATTTTTATTTTAAAATTACAATACGAATGAGGTAATTGCAAAAATTTTAAAGTGATCCTCGTTTAAGAATATCAAAGATGCCTTTGTAAAAAGTTTTTGGAATTAAGTCTTTTAGTTTTGTAAAAATTTTAAAATTGAATATTTTTTTAACCTTTTGTGCTATAATACCATTGAAAAAGTAGATATACTTTTCATTAATTTTTTCGAGCCATTTGAAAACAAATTAAAAGTGATTTTTTTCAAATGTTTGGTGAAACTTAAAATATTATGCTTCGATGTTACAATGTTTTACATAATTAAGAAAAAATACATGTAACTAATGCTTTGCTTTTCCACTTAAAAAATTTATAAACTTAAATTGACATAATTTTTCTTTTATCGTACTTAAAATCATATCAAAAACAAAACTTAGAATTTCTTGAAAATAAATAAAGTAAAATATCTAAAATATTAATATTCCTAATATCATGGAACTTTTCTTTCATTAAATTTTGAGACATATGTTAAAAAATGTTAAAATAATACTTGTGAGGAAAAAAATCATCCAGAGCAATGAGAAGAGCACTTTAGAGGAAGTAAAATACAAAATTGCCACGCACTCGGTTCTAACGCGAGTACAAACATAATTCTTGCACCATTTTAAAGAGAACTAAAATTATTACTTAATAAACAATGAACTATTTTTTACTATGAAATAATATTTTTCGATTATTTTGGTTGCCGGGTGAAGCTTTATCAAATGTTTCAACGAAAGAAAAAGTATTGGTCAGATAGCTGGTTTTGGCCATAGTTTAAGTGCCTTACACACCATGCAATGATTTTATACTATATTTATATAATCTTGCCGGGAAGCATTAGTTGGTCTTAAGAATAGATAAATAACTTAAATATTTTAAAAGTTACTTAACTTTTTTTAAAAATTGCCAATTTGATGACATTTTTCCACCTGGATGAAAATTATCAAATTACTGCCTTATTATCAGTTTTTACCAATTTTTATGAGCCCAGGTAAAGCAGAATTGGAGTGAAATTTTAAATGTAAAAAATAATATACCACAAACCCTTTTTATTTTAACAAAATTGTGACTTTTCTCCATATTGGCGTTTTGCGTCATTTTCAAAATAAGCGTAGACAGCGCTGGTTTTAGAGAGGCTAAACTTGATTTGACATTCATGAGTAACAGTTGCAAATCCACAGCAGATATAAAAATAGCATATAATTCATAAAAATCATCATTTCTTATTACGACGCAGCATTTGAAAAGCAGCCTTAAAAATTTTTTGGGTGATTTTTAGGATCGTAAGCAAAAATTGCCCGTTGCAGCTTCTGCCTAAATTACAAGAACCAAATTGATATGATTCTGACATTATAATAGACACACATACAAATTTTTCCTATTATTATTTAATGCATATTTTACAGCTGATGTCTTATCAATAAAACTTTTTTATTTTCAAACGAATAGTTACACAATTAAAACATATAAATTCCATATTTAAATTAAAAAATACTGAAAAGTGTTTGAAATCGTATGAAATCTCTATTATTATTTCAGCTTAACACAATAACTTATTATTTTTTTTATAACTTCATTAAGTTTTCTCTTGTTGCTTCAAAACAAACGAATCTAAATTAAAAAGTTTCAGTTTTGTTTACACACCCCTTGACTGTGGTTAAAAAAGTATTTTAAAGATTTACCTTCTTGTAAGAGAATTTATTTTATTTACATTTGCTGAAACTTCAGATTTTAAACAAACTTTTATTTATATTATTGAAAATGAAGAAAGTTCATTTTTTGCAGCAAACTGAGGAACTTTTAGAATTAAAACACATTAATTTATTTTTGTCATGACTTACTTAAAAATTCTTAAATTTTATTTTATGAAATTCCAAAATAGTTTAATCTATGATTTTTAGTTCTGTAATAATTTTAATTGTTGAAAAGACATATTCTTATCAAAACAGTAATTTAATTAAAAGCTGTGAAGTAACATCTCTCTGATTTTGATGTTGAGCAATCCAATAAATTGTGTGAACATTCCTTCAATCTAACACCAAATCTATAACGTTCATATTCCATCTAACACCAAATCGAGAGTTCATAAACAAGGTTGTATGGAAACTCCAAATGCGTAAAATGATAAAAATTTACACCAAGATCACGCGCCTGCACACCATATGGTCAGTATTTTCGCTTCTGCTCTGAAAACTCCATATTTTTGATACATATTTAGTTGTTTACAATCGATTACAAGTTGACGTGAAATTCGTTATTGTCTTCAATTCTGCTTTTTATCTACGGAAACTTAAGTTCGTCGTTAAAACACGCATGTATGTTTTGAATTGTGTAATAAGGATATTTAGATTTTAATTGTTAAATTTCTGCAAACTGCATCAAATAATTTCATAATGTTTAATTTCTACTCGATTCCGTTCTGATAAGACTAGTTTGAATTCGTCTAATACTCTATGTTACGTGCATGTTTGATTTACAAGCTGTTTTTATTTTAAGAATTAGTGTGTACATGTATCCAAAATTAATAATTGTAACTTTATTTTGTATCATAAAGTTTTTTTACTGGCTCTTATGTGTATCGTATCTCACTGTATTTATAAATATTATTGTTACTGAATACCAAAATAGGGTAACAGCTACTTTGCATTAGATAGTACAAAGGAACATTACTGGTGTTTTAGAAGAGCTCGTTTGATGCAAATTAGTTGCCACCATTTTCAGTGTTAAGATAGACGAAAATGTTTCACAATGTACTAATTTGATGAAAGTAATTCTTGAAATGTTATTTCTTTTTCGAGTTCATAAACAATTTGAAATATAAATCTGTAGAATTATTATTTTTTTTAAATTAATTGCTCCCATTTTCAGTGTTAAGATAGACGAAAATGTTTCACAATATACTAATTTGATGAAAGTAATTCTAAGAGATTCTAAGAGACCATTTTTGTAACTTGGGATACTAAATTTTGCAGTCAACATTTTAAGAAAAGATTACGTTCCTTAACATATCCTTCACAAATTATTTTATCGTAATATTGGATCTTTCACAAGATATTTTATCGTAATAACGGACCCTTCGCAAACTGTTTTATGTTGAAAACGGATCCTTTACAATATTTTTCATTTTAAAAAAGAGCTATCCGAAAAACTCTTCTTTTGAAAATCAGAGTCGATGAAGTCTTTAATACATAATTATAAAACTCTTTAAAGTTCTAATTTTTCTATTTTTTCATAAAAAGGGTACTTTATTTTTATAAATTCACAAAGACAGGACCTCTGCAGAAAGAATACTATTCCAAGGTAA